CCAACCTTCTAACAAGGTGTATAGCTTCTGTAGTCGAACGACCCGGCATGAACCCGAACTAGTTGTCGGATACAAACACTGTCATCCTCACCCTCGCTTCAACCACCATCTCCCACACTTTCATGGTATGACTCAGTAATTTGATACCNNNNTCTGGATATCACCTTTGTTCTTATACAATGGAACCACCGTACTCCACCTCCACTCATCCGGCATCCTTTTCCCCTTAAAAATTAGATTAAACAACCTAGTCAACCACTCCAAACCTGCTCTCCCCACACACTTCCAAAATTCCATCGGAATCTCATCTGGCCCGGTCGCTCTGCCCCTACTCATCTTACGCATAACTCCCATGACCTCCTCAACCTCGATACGCCTGCAGTACCCAAAGTCACAGTGACTTTCGGGATGATCCAATTCGCCTAGCACAATATCCCGATCCCCTTCTTCATTCAGAAGTTTATGAAAGTAAGTCTGCCATCTCATCTTANTAAGTCTGCCATCTCCTCTTAATATGGGCATCTTTCATCAATACTCTACCATCTTCGTCCTTGATGCATCTCACTTGGTCCAAATCCTGAGCCTTCCTCTCTCTCAACTTGGCCAGCCGGAATAACTTCTTCTCCCCACCTTTTTCCCCCAATTCCTCGTACATACGACCATAGTAACATGAATATATATATTATCCAAGATATTTATCTCACACAGGCTTTTGTAGGATGACCTTCTTTAAGAGATCAATAAGAGCAAATTAAGAACTTGATAGTAATACCTATAAATGTATTTGGTTGTAAAACAATTTATAAATAAATGTGGTTACAGCTGGAACTTAACGTGTAACATCTGTGGACATTTGAAATACTCCCAAAGAATTGTTCAAGTTAAGGTGCTTGAAAGATATCTTCACAGTTCATCTTTCAGGTTGATATGACGAATATTTGGTTTTTTTTCTCTTCTGTTCTTTTGTGGTTTAATTTTGTTCATTTCATTGGAAAAGTGAGTGTTAAATGTGTTGTACCATTGGGTTTTATGTGTTTGTTAGCTGCTATTTCTGGTCTGTTTAAGAAACCAATTACATAGTAGTAGCATGGGAGTCTTATTATCTGCTATGGTAATGGATGGACCGTAAGAGTTGAAGTAATCATAGCCTGTACATATTAATCCAAATGGAGGATTTGGTTGCCTAGATTGAATCCAAGACCTATAGTTTGAAAGCATCGATTAGACTCTGGACATGCAAGTAGCAATAGGTTGCTTGATTAGTTTGTAGACTATCCTCGTACACATTAACAACAACAACAACAAAAACATACCCAGTATAGTCCCATAAGTAGGGTTCTATCCTCGTACACATTATAGACTCACAATGTTAATACAGCAGTGCAAATAGTTTGATCGATTTTGCTTCTTGTGGTGATATTCTTGGTACTAATGAACTATCATTTCCGGCTCCTTGGATAGGACCCTTGAAAAACGCAATTGATTGGGCATCTCGGCCTCCAAATGTTTGGGCTGATAAAGCAGCAGCAATAGTGAGTGCTGGAGGTGGCTTTGGTGGAGGACGATCACAGTATCACCTTCGACAGATAGGAGTCTACCTTGATCTTCATTTCATTAACAAACCTGAATTTTTCCTGAACGCGTTCCAGCCACCATCTAAGTTTGACAGTGATGGTGTGCTGACAGATGAAGAAACCAAGCAGAAACTTAGAGCAGTTCTGTTATCTTTACAGGCATTTACCTTGAGACTCAAAGGCAAGTGTGAATAGCTTCTACCGGCGAATGTGATCCATTTATTCATCCAATATGGGATGGTGAAAATTATCCCCAGTCAATGTTTCCCGCTCTGAGGGGAGAAATTTTTTCTTGTACTCGGTGATTTGAAACATCTTTTCAGTTGATTGGTTGTGTGTTAGCACTTAGCATGGATGAAATCATATGGAAGTTTCATGGAGATTGATGAATAATGGCTGGATAAATAAAATTTATGTCTACGAGTATTGGCTGTTTTAAGTTATTATCTGGCTTAATATTCGCTCTCTAATTTACTTACGCTCAGTGTTTTAAAAGGCGTTTTTGGGACGAGGCGCACCAAAAATGCCCCGAGGCGATGGTGTGGGACGAAAGTCTCAAGAGGCGTATGCCCAGCAATTCCGAGGCGATGGTGTGGGACAAAAGTTTCAAGAGGCGTATGCCTAGCAATCCGGGGCATACGCCCGGGTGTTCGGGGCGTACGCTCGGGCGTTTGAGACGCATTTTTGTAGTGAGGCGTAAGCCCCAGAGACTTTTTCAAATTAAAACAAAATTTGTTGAATAAGTCCTTCATATAATACCCAAATTCTCAAAAATCAGCTTGTAATTACTCAAAAATTTTAAAAAGGAACTGAAATGTATTAAATTTAAAAGTCAAGAACTTTTTTATTGATTGAAGCCCTAATTTATGGTATTTTCTAATTCTTTTTTTGTCCGCTAGTCTGCTAATATCTTCCAAAAGCAATGAATATTTTTTTTTTTTTAAAATACAAAGAGAACTCCATTCTTCTTCATAGCATCAAATTCAAAGTTCAAATTGCAGGTTAGTCATCCTTTTTGTTCCTTCACGTAGAAAACTTCATTCTTTTCGACTCAAGTTATTTGTGCTTGTAGGTAGCGTATAATAGATTGTTTTGACTAGTTTTTAGTGGAGATGGAGCACATATATATATATATATATATTCCACATATTTATAGTTTCTTCAATTTTTATACAATTTTACCTGTTTATAAATATTTACTGTAATTATATTATTTTATAAAATACTCATGAGGCTTACGTCCCGTGCCTCGGAGCTTACGCCTCGCTGAGGTATATGTAAAGCGTCTCGCCTTACGCCCACACCTTTTAAAACACTGCTTACGCTTAATTTTTTCGTTTAGCCCTGTAGTCTTTTTCAATTGTTTGGTAATTAGAATTGACCTGTTATTTTGAAATCAGTGAGTGCAGTCATCACAAAATCAGGAAGGCTTCAATGCCATGCTTTTGCTCTATCCTAAGTTGGAAACAAGGGTGGCCTAAAGCAAAATTTGGATGAGAGGCCTTAATTGTTTTAAAATATTTTTTATATATTATTTGAAGTTTATTTTCCTAACCTTTTTAGATATAAAATTGTTAATAATTTTCTTTTAATCGAGTTATTCTAATAATTATTTTTCAACTGATAATAATGCTAATCCGATCTATTTAACTCCTCGTGAGTTGATCCTATACAAGATTTTATCAATTTTAATTTAAAAAAACTTTTCTCCCCGAATGTAATTGTTATAGTAATATTATTCTATAAGAAATATAGACATTTGGCAGAAAATCAAGTCTTGTTATCTTATTAAATATATCGATTAGAATCTTATCTTATACTTGTAATATTTCCTTTAATGCTATATAATTTAAAAAATAAGTCTAAACTATCATGTCAGGGTGGCTATTATGTTTTAATCGAGGTTAAGTCAATATTTTTTTCAAAGTTTTATCATCTCGTGGCCTTAAATTTTACCTACTAAATAAAAAAGAAAAAATATATTTATATGCTTCGGATTATTCAAATCTCAACTATCAATGTCACTAACAAATTAAATTTTCTTTTCCTTTTCTGTATTAAAATATTGTACTTTTTAACCTTAAGATAATCAACTTTTTATATAAAAAATTAATTCATAAAATTACTACCAATGGAAAATGGGACCCTAAAATTTGGGGGCTAAAGTGACGGCTTGGGCTGCCTTACCCTTCAGCCGGCATTGGTTGGAAATATTTAGCGAAATCAAATATTAGTCGAATCCCCTGTCCTGCCCATGCCATAGAGGTGGCAAATATCGATGGCCTATAGCAGATCTTTTCTTTCTTAAATAACATTTGCCAATCAAGAGAGGTCCCTGTACTTATAGTCTATAGACGCATCCTTAAGGTAGGGGCTGCCATTTTGTTGGCATTGTGATTTCCAGGGGTGCTCATAAAAAACTCAAAAATCGAATCAAATCAATCAAAAAAATTGATACTTTTTAGATTTGGTTTGATTTTGGTTTTGAATTTTGAAAACCGATCAAATTTGGTTTGGTTTTGATTTTAATTAAAAAATAACTGAAAAAATCGAACTAAACCGGCTATAAAAGTAGCTATTTAAATTTATTATTACACCTATATATATGTATATTTTTATATAAAGTTTCTAAAATTTTATGGTACATATTAGTCATTTATATTTTTAGTTTAGTTTTTTGCTATTATAATAATCTAATTCTTTGCCTTAACATTCTAGTTTGATTGGTAGTTTTCTTTTGCTAAGTACAAGAATTTATTTCATGTTAAACATAATCGATTTTTAATTGAGTACTTTAATTATTCATTACTATTTGATTCAATTATCATCAATGTATCTTGGTAAATGATAGATTTCTCAAAGAGCAATTGATTTGATAGTGTTACGTTGAAAATATAGTCGTCGGAATATGCGTTTGGTAGTGTATGTCTCATATTTAAGGAAAAAAAATTATGAATAACCGAAAAACCGACAAAAACCGAATCGATAAAAAATCGACTTAATTGGTTTAGTTTGGTTCCAATATTTAAAAAACCGACTTAGTTGGTTTGGTTTCTTTTTCGGAAAAAATCGACCCAAATCGAACCATGAACACCCCTAGTGCTTTCCATGGATGAATTTGTTTGACGTTTGCTGGAATCCAGAATGTGGAATATTACTTACTTCTTTTCTGTTCATCCAAGTTAGGGGTATCAAATTGGCGGGTTGGACTGATTTTGGGCGGGTCAAAATAGCACGAGCTAGTCAATTTTCGGATTGGTAATTAAAAAATAGCCACCGTTTGCAAAGTCATTGAAAAATAACCACTATTTTGCTGCAACACGAAAAGTTCCAGCATAATATACTGGAGATTGCTGCACATGTGTATAAACTTCCAGCATATTATGCTGGAACTCCAACACACGGAAAGTTCCAGCATAATATACTGGAGAATGGAGCACTTGTGTATGAACTTCCAGTATATTATGCTGGAACTCCAGTATATTATGCTGGAATATTTTTCGGATTTTGAACAGTGTTTTCGTTCAGATTTTATATTTACATGAAAAGTGGCTAAATTTCGATTATTTTTGAAACTGCGGCTATTTTTCAATTACCACTTGTAAATCTGACTGTTTTTGAATTTCACCCGTCAAAAATAGAGTGAGTCAATAATTGAACGGTTCATTTGACTGGCCTAAAAGTAACTTGGGCTGAGATGAGTTGGGTCAAGTTGAGCTAAAATTTGGGTCATAGCCCAACTTGCCCAACTCTTATTACGCTTTAATTAATGTGTATTATTTTCTTATGAATTGTTTAATTATCAACTACCATTTTTTCTTTTGTTATGATAATATATATATAACATATCCAAAAAAAAAAGAAATATTTTAAAGTTATTTTAGAAAAGTTACTCATGGATCAATTTGGGCTAAAAATCATCTCAACTTTAGATTGACCGAAATGAGTTAGGTGAAAATGTGTTCATGAGTTCAACGGGTCAATGACCAGCCCAACCTTGAATGTCTTGAACGGGTCAAATGGATTTGTGCTCAACCTTGGACGTCTTGGACGGGTCAATTAGGTTCATGCAAGAAAATAGAAAATAACCTTTTTTTAGTTCACTCTTTAAATTTTGTCCCCGTTAGTTCAATGGGTTAAATTCATTGATCCAATTATTTTCAAAGGTGAAATTTATCCAATCGAACAAATGAGAACGGAAATTAAATAGTTGTATCAAAATAGGTCATTTGGTGTAACTAATATGATAGTGTTATAAAATAAAGACAGTAAAGTAAAAACAAGTATAGAGAGAAACTGATATATTATTCAAACTTCAAACTTCTGTACATAATGAACTGAATTCTCCTCTATTTATAGAAGAAAGGAAGCTGCTACTGCAAGCTGCTGTGTAAGTTGCTACTCTAAGCTGTTGTGCCAGATATAGATAATTTTCTACCATAGGTAATATTTATCCATAACGGAGTACCGAAAGGATAAGCTTCTTTAGGAGGCTTATTTCCAATATAGTACTAAATAGATAAACATATTTACGGCGCAGTCTCATATGGATAAGCTTCTTCAGGAAGCTTATTTACAACGGAGTACTAAATGAACATCCATAATATAATATATTTATAACACTCCCTCTTGGATATTCATTAAAAGATAATGTGCCTCATTAAAACCTTACTAGGAAAAAACCCTGTGGGAAAGAATCCTAGTGAAGGAAAAATAGTACACATATTTAGTAATACGCATTGCTAGCTGACTCGTTAAAAAACTTATAAGGAAAACCCTGTGGGAAAAAATCTTAGTAAGGAAAAAAGAGTACATCGCGTATTTTACTCCCCCTGATGAAAACCTTGTTTCAAATATTTAAGTCTCTGCATTCTAATCTTGTATACCATCTTCTCAAAAATTGAAGTTGGTAAAGATTTAGTGGATAAATCTACCGGATTATCACTTGAACGGATTTGTTGCACATCAATATCACTATTTTTCTGAAGATCGTGTGTGTAGAATAATTTTGGTGAAATGTGCTTCGTTCTATCTCCTTTTATAAATCCTCCCTTCAATTGGGCTATGCATGCAGCATTGTCTTCGTATAAAATTGTGGGTCTTTTCT